AAGAAAGATTTTCTTCCAATGAAAGAGTTCTTTTTTTTTGGCAGCTGACCCGTATGGATGTCCAAACCCATGAATTTGGTGTTATAAGGCTGCACTCTAACCAACTGAGTAAGCTGCCAGCCTGTAAAAGCTGAAAGAATTCATCATCAGAAGATTCACACCACTAAAAATATTAAAGAACGTCCTTTGGGGAAAAGCATACCAAATGGAAATCTGGCTCTACACAAAGGAATGAAGAGCACCAGAGAAAGTAACTACATATGAAAATAAATAAAATTTTTTATTATTTAAATATTTAAAAAAATAATTGATTGTTTAAACAAAAATAATAGCAATATATTGTGGGGATTATAACATGTTTAAGAGTAAAATGCATGACAACAAAGACCAACTCCAGCTCCAAATGATCAGGAGAAGGGCTTCTACTGGGCCACATGAGTGCACAGAACTGAGAACTAGCAGTGCAAACCCAAGTAGGCTTAAGTGCAAACTCAAGATAGCTCCTCTGATCTTTCCTGTTGACTAATTTTTGGAACTGTCCTGTGCCTTGGTTCTCAATCTAGATACTTTAGTTTAATCATGGAGTGGATCTTAGCCTTAACCTGGTAACAGCTCACTAATGCTGTTTGCATGAAAAGACAGCTTAGCATTCATTACCAGGAAGTTCAACTGACAAAAGTATGCTACTCTCATGTAGAGGATTATTCCTAGGCTTATTAACTAGTGCCCAATAGAATTCCTGGCTGACAGAAGCACCACCACACTAAAAAGTGAATATCCTTCTTCTAGAGAAGCTGGCACACTGCTGATAACACCAAGCACCAAGGTCAAGGGTTCGGATCCCTTGACCAGACGCCAAAAAAAAAAAAACTTCTTATATAAGGGTTGGTGTTGGAGGAAAATTTCTTTACAATATACAATATGGCTTAAGGAAATGATAAAACAAATTAGGATTAATAGTGTTGTAATTTGAAAAATAAGTTTTTAAATAAAAATAAACTAACCAATTTCTTTCTCTTTGACCCTTCATATACATACCTCACCCGCCTGAGATTCTGAAAGTTCCAGCAGGAAAGGAATTTCTGTGTCAAAATTAGCAAAGAATCTAGTCCACTGATGTTCAAAAGCCACCAAATCCTAGGAAGAAAATGAAAAAGATAATGTGTTTGGTCACATAAAGGAGGTACTTTAGAAAACCAGAATTATAAAACTGCAACTGATCTCAAAATACTAGACCATTTTATATACAGTTTTAAAAGGTAGTAGCAAACTACTGATCCATGCTACCATATGGATGAATCTCAAAAACAATATGCCAAGTAAAAGAAGCCATATGTAAAAGACCATCTGGGAATATTGTCCATTTACATGAAAAACCCAAAAAAGGCAAATCTGTAGAGACAGAAAGTAGATTAGTGGTTGCCTGGAGTTGGGAGTGGGAGTGAAGATTAACTGCAAGTGGGCACAAGGGAACGTTTTGGGTTAACAAAATATTCTAAAATTTGATTATGGTGATGGTTGCACAACTCTGTAAATTTACTAAAAATCACTGAATTGTACACTTAAAGTGGGTGAATTTTATGGTATATAAATTATATTCCAATAAAGTTGTCTTAAAGACAGTAATGACCCTCAAGCACCTTACTTTAGTGATCCTGGCTGGAGGGAGGCACCTAAAAGATTGGCATTACCTCCAGGGCCAAAAGTGTCACATCAGTGAAGCTTTGTGCAAGGACAAATTAACTGACCTTGTTAGAAATTCAGTGGAGCCAGGGATGGCGCAGAGCCTGCTCCTTCCTCACACCCCCTTCTTAATAGCCACATGAGTACTGAGGAACCCTGCGTCCTTCCCAGTTGACTCCTCTACATGCAGACTGCTCTCCCTATCCTATCCCAGCTGCTTTTCAGCCTC